TTTTTTTTTTTTTTTTTTTTTTTTTTTTTTGCATGCTAACTAATATAGACAACTGGGTCAGACTCAATCTTCAGCATAGTGTCTGGACACAGATGTTCGGCTTTCTGCTTCACCCTTCCATCGACACTTCCAATCCTCATTTGAAAGTGGCCGATCTTGGGACCGGGACTGCGTGAGTTCCACCGCTATGTTTTATTTTGTTTATTTTATTTTTTACTCTTCTTTTTGTTTTCTTTCGCCTTGTCTGGGCCTCAACATTACGAACGGCACTTGCAACGACCTTGAAAGCCGATCCAATATACCCCAACAGCTGAATATTCACCCAGACTCTATCTCGGCTTCGGAAAGATAAGTACCAAGTTACACATTCCGTATTAGGTCAGACCTACTGGATTTAAGCTAACACGAACCTTTTTATGTTTTGTCACCTGGATTCAAACACGGAAACGATTTCAAATTCTAAGAATGTACATCTCTATGAAGCCATGCGCTCGGCACGGCTCTGCAGCGCCTTTACCATATCAATCCCGACCTGGGTAGCCTCGTCCAACTTCTCCTCCGGCAAGCCCAACAGCTCGTTCTGTGCCTTGTCAGAGTGGTCGCCGGCATCCTCCGGGAAGAACGCTCGCGCGTAGAGCAGCTTAGCAAACCCAGCCATGTTGCCGGTCTTGACCATCCCCAGACCATCTGCGTATCGCTTGTGGGCATCCTCCTGGGTAATCGTCCAGTCGGCGTCCGTCGTGCCAGTCACGCGCTTGACGCTCTCAAACATCTCGTTCTGGCTGACGACAAAGCTCTTGAGGTAGACGGGCTTGTTGAGCCAGCTCGAGAGAGTCAGGCTCTTGTCGTTTTCGTCATCTGGAAGCACCTTCAGGCTGAGCACAGTCGCAACAGCGCGCCCGACCTGGGCCAGAGTCGAGACTGAAGTCTTGGTGTTGCCATCGCCGTAGATCGTCAGTTCTTTCTTGTCAAAGTCGAACCCGAAGCGCGCCGACCCGCCCGCTAAGCTGTAGTCGTACCAGAACCCACAGCACACGGTGATCCACTTCATACCCAGCTTCTCGATCTCGTCTCGGTTGGCCTGGGCCACGGGTCCGAGCATGACATCCTGGCCGAACTTGACATGCTCAATGTCGCCGGCGTATCCATTGGGCATGATGTAGGGGACCCCTGCCTTGGCGGCCGCCTGGACGAGCTTGCTGTGTGTGTCGCGGGGCGCAGTGGGGGCGACAGTAATAATAAAGAACTGTTGGCCCTTGAGGGCATCGACAATGGAGGCCTCATCGCTGTAGTCGACGGGGGCGACAACGACGCCCTCGGGGAGTTTGTTGGAGCTGTCTTTGCGCGAGAGGGCAGTGACGGTGTGCTTTCCAGTTTTAAGGAGGGCGGCAGCGAGAACAGATCCAACAGTACCTCCGGCCTAGCAAGTTTGTTAGTCTCATCCTGTATTGTACTTGGGGAGGGAGGGAGGGGGGCGTTACCTACACCGACAATGGCGACTCTCTCAATGGCATTGGTGAAGCCGGCGGGCTGATCCTTAGCGTATGACATTTTGCTTGAGTGATGTGTGTGAATTGATCTGGATTGGATTGAATGAAACAAGACTCAAGTGCAGCTGAATCGTGATTAATTTATATTAATTCCGGCTTATGATCTCCGCCGCAGCAGCCGCACTGCAGCCTGAAACTCCGCGATAGCCGCACGATGTCCACCCCGAGCGGCGTTAAGTTGTTGAATGAAAGAAACACCCGGAGAATCTTCCCACCCATTTCCCCCAGTGTCAGACGGCCGAGTGTGGTCTAATCATGAATCGGAGTGGACAGATTTGACTCGAGCACAGCCTCACGATCAAACATACTCCGTTCGCAAACCCCATCCCTACCTTTTCTACAACGAGTCTACTAGGACTCGCTCCCCAGGCCCGTGATTGTCAACAAACATCATTTCACAGTCAAAATGTCCTCTGAACAACCATCACAAGCGCTACCCAGCGAACCTGAAGCCCCGAGTGAAGACCGTGAAGACCGTCAGTACAGTGAAGATGATTCCAAAGTCGAACGTCCCAAGTCCCTCCCCAGCGAGGTCCTCTTTGTCGCCATCATCTGTTCCTCGCAGCTTCTCACTCAAGCCGGTCTTGCCCTCAGCATCGTCCCTCAACACATCATCGGACGCTCCTTTGACATCGACAACCAGCCTGGCAAGCTGAGCTGGTTCTCCTCTGGATACTCTCTCACCGTCAGCACCTTCATCCTCATCGCATGCCGGTTCGGTGATGTCTTTGGGCATAAGCCGTTCTTCGTAGGCGGCTATATCTGGTTTGCCTTATACTCTTGTCTCGCCGGTGTTGCTATATATAGCGGCCCCAGCTTCTTCATCTTTTGCCGTACCATATAGGGAATCGGCCCGGCTTTCCTACTCCCCAACGCCATCGCTATTGTCAGTCGCTGCTATGACCCGGGCCTTCGTCAAAACATGATTTTCTGCCTATCCGGGGCCACTACTCCTAGCGGCTTTTTGCTTAGTGCCGTCTTCTCCAGCCTGCTTTCTCAGAGACTCTAGTGGCCTTAGTCGTATTAGGTCCTATGCTTTACGTCCCTCTTGCTGGCTGTCTTGGGCTTCTTCGCGATTTCCGCAACCCTAGCCCCGAGAACCCCAGAGTTTGAAAGCTCTAGTGTCTAGAAGTGCGTCGATGTCGGGGGCTCTGTCACCGGCGTAGCCGCCCTCGTCCTTTTCAACTTTGCCTAGAACCAAGGCCCCGTGGTCGCCTAGACGACACCATATACCTACTTCATTATGATCATCGGCACCCTCGTCTTTATCGTCTTCGTCCTGATCGAGAAGAGAGCAAGCCACCCGCTGATTCCCTTCGGCGTCCTACGCATCGATTCCCTCTTCACTCTGGCCTACATCAGCGCCGGCTGGTCCAGCTTTAGCATTTTCGTCTTCTACACGCTAAACCTCCTCGAGGTCCTTAGGGAGCAAACGCCCCTTCTCACCTCTGCACAAATGATGCCCATCGCTATACGGGCTATTTGTTACGGGCACCACGGGCATACTTCTAAACAACTTCCGCGCGTCGATAGTCATGCTGATCTCTATGACCTTCTTCCTTATCGGGGGTGTTATCTTCGCGACGATGCCTGTGGACCAGATCTACTAGGCGCAGACGTTCGTGGGGATCATTGTCCTTCCATAGGGCATGGATTCGTCGTTTCCCGCTGCCACGATTATCCTAAGTCGAGCTATACCGCGCTAGCATTAGGGTCTGGCTACGTCGCTGGTGACTACGTTTATCAACTATTCTATCTCTATTGGGCTTAGTTTTGCCGGTACTATCGAGAGCTAGGTCAATGGTCAAGGGAAGAATGTCTTGCAGGGCTACAGAAGGGCGTTTTATATAGGTGTTGGGCTCGCCGGGATAGGTTTATTGCCCTACTTTTCTGTTTTGCGGAACGGTTTCATATCAAGATAGAAAGGGTGTAAGAAAAGACCGATTCGTAGGAAACGCTAGTTTACATCTCATTAATACAATAATGTTTTATTAGATTCCTTAAAAGTGTGACTTCTGCTATTAATTTACATCTGAATTTTCGGGAAACATCGACAGATATGGCTCCACGAGAAACTGGTCCCAGTCCACCCCCCAGCCAACAAGATCTAGCACAGCGGTGTTGGGCTCGGCTTTCGGTGGGTATCCTGCCTCGACAGCTTCCAGCTGTAAAAGTTCCTTTCGTTTCTTCGCTATATTAAGACTGAGAAGATGCCGTGCTATAGAGAGTGCCTGTCGGGTGAGTGCTGTATCCGTTGCCCTGACAAGATTCTCCAGCCTCTTAAAAGCAGCAGGAATGTGAGCGGACGAGGCTGGAGTGTCGATGGCCAATAAGATACAAGCATATTGGAAGACACTGCCGATAACATTCCATAGTAGACGGCCTTGGCTGACGAGCTGCTCAGCTGCCTCTAGTCCATCCCTACCGCTATCGATGACAACCTGGATGGTTTCATCCGTGATCCCTGCCTTGAACTGGTAGATACGTCGATAGAAACAGAATGCGAGGTCCGCCTTGGTGGCGACCAAGAACGGATGCGTGAAATGTAGTTTGCTCAATGCCGTAAGACGCTCGGAGAGCTCCTCCCTTGGAGATGGAGGCTGAGAGTTAAGTTGGAACGGAGAGTTCGGCGACGGGATAATCTGGATGATTTGCACGAACTGGTCGGCAAAAGATCCTGGGATCGCAATGATCGCCTGCGTAGTCACGGCTGCAAATGTCACTGCCGACCGATCGCACTCGTAGGACAGCATCTGGTGTGCGGCCCACAGGATCCAGAAGATGCGCCTCAGCCGGTCCGTATCATAGCCAAGAGCAGCGGCACCAGCGACGGACGCCATGCGTTGGATGTTTTCTTCCTTATGCAGCCCGACGACTTCGCAGTGGTGCATGAGCGTGCAGGAGGCGACCCAGGCACTACTAGGCCGGGTTGTGGCTCGGAGATAGAATAACCGCATGCCCCACGCGATGATATGATCGACGCTCAGCATCCGCATCGAGGCCGGATCATCGAGAATGGCTTTCGCGTACTGCAGTAGGTCCGACTCGCGGGAGTACCTGACTGAAGAGAGGAAGGATCCGACTGCAGCAACACCAGCGGCTATAGCACCGAAGGCGATCGGCGGACTGCCGGGCCCATGATAATACTCGCGACACCGCTGAGCATAGATCCTGGGGCCAATGACATCTCCAATGGAGCCCATTGCAGAGAAGTACACGTCCGAGTAGAAGGCGAGGTTGTCCTCGGAGATCAGGCTGCCCAGCAAACCATACGTGTTGGAAGCCTCTTCTGGGCGGATGCCAAAGTTGTACGCAGTTGAATTGATCTTGGGAGGGTTGTCAGACCCGAGAGCCAGGCCTAATATATGCGGGAAGGCCATGGCTGCTGATGCGCCGGTGTACCTGGACTTGTGCTCCTCGAAGATGCCGTGGCTCTTACCAGTGGACGGGCTGCCTTCATTTTCCACGGGGGGTTGGATCTGCATGTTACGTCCCTCGGGAACAGCGCGCTTGGCCACTGGGGGATCCGCAGTCCCGGTGATGTCGTCGTCGTACCTGCATTGATACTGGTAGGTGGAGCACGTTCCACACGGATACTCGCCATCGCATTTTCGCTTGCGCTGGTGGCACGGATTGCAAGCTTTTCGAGCACGCTTGCGCTTGTTTGTGGACATATTGAGAGTTCTATGTCATGATGGCATTTTGAAGATGAAACACTTGATGGACTGAAAGAACTCAAAGTTCAGAAGCTGGAGACAAAAGAAAGACAAAAGATACGCTGACTCAGCAGGATGACTAAGCTCATAGAAACAGAAGCTATTAGTTAACTAGTGAAGTTAATTACAAATGATTCGATTCTAGAGTCTATTCTGACACATCTGAATATAGAACGCCTAAAAGCAAAGAAGCGATATTGATCGATCGGTATATAAAGTTGGGGTTCTAATAGAATTAGTCTGAAGAAAATATAGAGAGCCCTATGTTACGCACTGCGAACTGGTCACAGTTAGGGTTAGTAGATCACGGGTGATACTCACAGGGTTTCTCTGATCTTCCAACGTCAACGATCTGTCTCTCAACCGTACTGTTGCCAACAGGCCTTACTGCAGGTTAGGTCCTCTTGAGGGTATCGAGGAACGGTGCCAGGTAGAGCGCTCAGGGGGTCTATACCGGGGTATTGGCCAACTGATGGGTGTTGTCAAGTTATAATCAAGTAAGAAGTCACACTGGTAATTCCAAAGGTAAACAGTAGTAACAATGTGTAATTGAAGACGAAGAACCAAACTAGATACATGAATGAGCGTCCTTATATATCCCTGGGTTCTTCCTGTGTAGATGGGTAGATTGTAGAATGGTAGAAATGCCTTGGCACTTTCTACTGATCTACCATCTATCGTTCTACTACCTGCATGATCACGTGGACGGGTTTTTGTGCACAAAAACGTGTTCCTTGATGTCACGTGATTTCCTTCATCGGGGGGGCCGCCCCCCGGATGAAGATAGGCAGGCGGTATGGACAGGCAGTTTGGTTGATTGGTCCTCGGCGACCCGCCCGTGTCACATGTGGGGTCGCCATCGATTGGCAACTAGCATGTCCATAACACCCTACTCAGCCTAGGTTGTACAACGTCTATACGCTTAGAAATCCCACCGCCGTTGAAAAAACCGGCAAAATCTATTGTTTTAAGATGGTAATAATACATCACATATTGAGGTCCCCACCCGCACCTCAGCTTTCATCATCCACACCCATACAGTATTAGATTGTAGATGTTCGATAGTAAAAAATCTTTGATTTTAGTTAAGTTTATATAGACAAATCCCCTTATTTATCTTTAAAATACTGTTATATGATATCAATATCTTATTACTATATCGATAGCTACATCAATATCATTAGACTACAGTGCTAACCACAAAAACTCCGATTAACCGAAAACTACACTGCAAATTTGCGGTTTTGGATATTATTTTACTAACTACAAGATTTATAGTGAGGTTTTGATTACCATTTTACTAACTATAGGATTTTGTAATTAGGTTTTAATTAGCAATCTACTAACTATAGTAGTTTTATAGTTAACTATAGTATTAAATTAATAAATATAGGTCTATTCTATAAAATTTCAACCGGTGTCATAGGCGTAATATAGCTGAAGAGGAGGACTAATAAAACCACCGTAGATTACTATATTTCATTAGTATAAATCAGCATTTTTATACACCTTAGCATAGCTCGATTAGGAAAATTATATAGCCGCGGGTTTTTGCGGGAACCCGCGCGGGTTTCGGGGCGGGTTGCGGGTTGGTCGAGTCTACCCATCGGGTTTACGGGTTCGGGTTGCGGGTCGACTTCTCTTACCATTCTCGGGTTTTAGCGCAGTCTAATCAAAAATAACCCTCGATTTTCTCGATTTTCAATCGGCCACCCCACCTTTATACCTTGATCGATTACTCTGAAATTCGAGGACTATAATCTTCGAGGCGTAACTTAGAACTCTCCAAATTTTCAGCTAGATCCTCGTACGGGAATTCCGGTCTACTCATGGCCCCGCTTTTTTCTCCCATAGTTAAGCTCAAGTCCTAATTCCAGTCTACTAGACTACGCCCACCCAAATAGGATAGGCTTACCTGTCTCGAGCAATGGAGGGTGATGCCGGCTTTAATGAGTGGTCCAGCTTGCAGGTAAACAACAAATCTCAACAGGTCTCCTCGAACCTTGGTTAATGTGGCTCTTTTGCATAGTGCCTGCATGCACGGTACCATATTAAGGACCATGAGATGAACCTCTTCTTCGAACACTCGATATGTTCTGAACCATACTTTATAAGGAAATCGATCATGATAGGCGCTTGTAGTTCCATGTCTAGTTTTGCTGGACTGTTAGATACTAGCTAGGCTAAAATCCGCCTCGTAGTAGTAGTTATTCAAACAGGTCTCTTGATTCTGGATATAAATTCAATTTCAGTGATTCCGACTATTAATGTTGAACATGATCTGAAGATTTAGACATTCGTAACGCAAAACTGAAGGGCGGTGCAAATCTAGGTCCTCGACTCTCGTTCCTGGATTGATTTCACATTGTCTTCAACAGTCTGTTCCAAGGTCCTCCAGCCAATTTGGTCCCCCCACTTCTTCAACAAGGCCAACGGCAACGTGAAGTCTGCCGTGATGCTAAGCTTCACCATGCCTGGGAGATCGTCTACGAACTGACGCTGTGGGTACATCTTGCGCATGATGGCGAGAATATCGTTCCAGTTGCAGTTTTCTGCCCAGGCCTGAAGACGTTCGTTGTTGATGTCCGGATCTAGGATAGCAGCGACATGCAATAAAGCGACATCCTTCACGTCGATGTGATATGCTATTAAAAGCAGAAATAGTCAGTTCACCTTAAACAAACTTCCCAGGATTGTCGAGAGATAGGAAGGCTTACTCGCAGGAAAACCAGCTAGCGTGGATACGTTACCGTCCCAAAGTTGCTTAATCCAGGATCCCTCAGACTGAAGATGACTGTCACTGAGCGCCTCGCCCATGATCATCGCCGGACAGACCGAGTTGACCCTGAAATGCGGGTTCTTCTCCTCGACAAACTTCCACACAGCTTTCTCTGCCTCGACTTTGCTTGCCATGTAGACAATGCTGCCTTGCTTGGCATCGTGCGGTGGCGGAGCCCAGGCCAGTTGCACAGCAGTCTCATTCCATGTATTGCGATCCACGTGTGTAGTGTTCCCGGGCATGGGCATAGTAGTGGCCACAATGGAACTGGTATAGATAACAGCCTTCACCGACGGCTCTTTCAATGCTGCTTCCATTATGCGGGTGGCCGCATCAACCGTCTGAGGTACAACAGTAGTTGGATCCGGGTCGAAGGTGACGACAGACGCCACATGGGCTATTGCGGACACCCCCTTTATGGCGCTGTTGTAAACACCCTCGGCTGTGAAGTCTTTGATGGTGACAAGCTCAAAATCGTCGTTGTTGGCGTAGGTTTTGAAAACATCTTTGACGAGCCAGGATGTTCGTTCAAGGTCCCTGACCGTACCTCGTACCTTGAAGCCGCGTGCCAAAAGCTGCTTGGCAACATGCGAGGCCACATAGCCGTTGACACCAGTGACAAGTACACGGGACCCTGGGGGAATGACTGTCTTGATGTCAGACATAATGAAGCTCAAACAACTGAGCAGGTAGAATTGTCTTTTCGGGTTTGATTGTATTGTGAATTATACAATCCAGCTCTATGAGTCCGGAGATGAGCCATGATTTATAGATGCAAATCTACATTGTGATTCATAATCTGCTCGGATCGCGCGACTTTGATCGTCCGCGGCTGACAAATTGAACTTATTATGGTTATGATATACGGGGGTCGGTTCCCGCAATAGGAAGGAGCAGCTCTGGGCGAAGAAACAAATAACAGATATTGGGTTGATTCCGAAGAGGGAAAGTACTAGGGCTATTTAGGTAGGCACGGACGATTCTACCCATATTAGCACCAAGTTCTACTAACAGTAAGATGTACAGGGATAGTGGTTTTGCCTCCTGGGCAGGTTGTTTTTTACATACTGTATATTGTACATAGAAGTTCAGGCAAGCTCTCACCCACTGGAATGAGTACCCACAGGTCAAAATTGACGAATAACTAGACATATGATGAAACAGGGTGGGCCCTCAATGCTTCAGCGCAAGATGCGGGCGGAACTCGATCCGTGGCCCCAGACAACAAGCCTACTTCATCGACAAACTTGTGGAATAAAAGTTCAAGGAAGCCATCAAGCCCAAGGGTCTCAGGCCCGCCATTAACTGCCACCATCCTAGTGGCACCCCGCATATGGTTCCTAGCCATGGCGAAATCCCCCAGTGCGAGCTGCAGAAAATTATTGTCAATTATGGAAACAAGGCTTTAGCATAGAATCCGAATCGCACAAACCTCATCCAGTGCTAATGTCATCACCTGAGCAAGGGTTGAGTCTGTAAATGCCGATGACTGTTCTGCGGTGATCGATGTGCCCAAGCTCTGCACACAAGCCACCTTATAATGCATTGCATGCTTGGTGTATTCATGCTTCATTTCTTGGTTACTGTCATACATCATGGATAGATGACGACTTGCAATTAGTAGAATGCCACTGAAAAAGCCTGGAGTCGTGAGAGCGAGGCGTACCCACTCCGTACTCATCCTTTCAGCGTATTCGACCTGCTCACTGAGCTTTCCACAGTGGGTAATCAAGAATGGAATGACCCATTTCACATCTCGAGCATGTCAGAATTTGTGTCCCCTGACGACCCAATAGATCGCTGGCAACTTACAATGATGAAACAAAAAATTCCCAAGAGGAGCCTTGAAGAGGGCCGGAAACGTCTCATATGGGATATTGTAATTCGTTGCAGGTAGGCTGAAAGGGTTAGGCAGAAACCCCGCGGATTTAATATTTGCGCTCGGGGCTTCAACCCTGAGAGTGGGGGTCGGCGTCTCGTTTCCCTTACTACTTCGCTCATTTTCCGGCAGTTGAAGGGCCTTGGCAGCTTGGAATTCCTTAGTCCGACGGTGCCTCACTCTGGCATGTGCTGTACGAGCGGCATGAGAAGAGGCGATGCGCTGCTGTTGCTTCTCGAATGAACCAAGACCAGGTCTTTGCGATGCGTCAATGAAGAGTATCTTTTGGAAATTGGCCGACGACATCAGCTTGCCCTTGGTGGAGGAGATTGTCAGGCGTGATTTCTGTATGATTAAAGATTAAGATGGCGATGGTCCACGTATGGAATTGCTAGCAATTTTGTGACGACATCCATCAGCAGAGAAAAGCACGACTTGACTTAGCCTAGGTTACTAGAAGGTTCATGAATGATGAACAGCAGGTGGACGTGGAACCACGGGGAAGACTACAGCATTACTAATGAGGGCGACTGCCAAGGCTTGAGCCTTCCAAAATAAGGAAAGTTTGATCGTCACTAAAAAGCTTAATAACGTAATCCACGGCCAACCCGATCACACGATCAACCCGATCACCCTAAAACACGTATTAAATGCGGTGTTTGTATTCCTCTATAAACCAGCCATTAGAGATTGTTCTTCCTTAAATTTTGGATTATAAACTTTTCTAAGCTCAAGGAATAACATATTTAAATTTAAAATCATTTCGGACGCCATATCGATGCTGTACCATAAAATACGCGTAATTTTGATGTTTAGGCATAAGTATACGAGAAATTGAATGCTGATTTTTTGTTTAGTAGGATAGGATGAAGAGCTTTTCTTTTGGATAACCAAGACACGTAAGTGGCAAATCCTGAACTTCATATAACCCAGCACCTGCTTCCGGCCAGCTACGTCACCGCGGAGAGTTTTAGAAACGCTCCGGCTCTATCCAAGCGAGACCCTTCGGCTGATCAAAAATCAAAATCATCTGCCGTGATGCTAAACTTGCCAAGATTTTCATGAATGCTATGCTGACACGTTTACTGTGGACCAGAGCCTGTGCTGTAGAGCAGTATGTGGGGAACGCAAATCGAGGGTACCAGTTAGAAATCTTCGAATAAAAATAAAATAGAGGTGAACTCAAGTTGGGTTCGGAAGGTAAGTGGACCTTCCATGGGTGGATTCGCATCGGATTGTTCACTAATCATTAATTTTACAACTAACCAATAATGGTTCGTTCACTCGGCATTTCCAGGGTGATGCTCCGTTCGGCAGGAATGGCAACTATAAATTGGCTAGCAGGCCGCACTAGCTGTTTTCCATGATATCAAGCTGAATCTCACATCCCTCAAGTCAGGGTTAAACATCTGCTCGTTGGCTATTCACCATGGCAACCAAGAAACTTATTGTTGTCCTCGGCGCTACAGGGAATCAGGGTGGCTCAGTCGCAGAGGTTTTCCTCCAGGAGCCGCAATGGCGTGTCCGTGCAGTGACCAGGAACCCGGCCAGTACAAAAGCCCGTGCCTTAGCTGCCCGCGGTGCGGAAGTGGTCCAAGCAGACTTGGATTTGCCATCCACCCTCTTGTCGGCCTTTGAGAACGCGAATGCTATTTTCGCTGTCAGTGACTTCTGGGGTCTATTTGGTGATCCTGCCAACGAAGCCAAGGCGAAGGGTCAGCAACTCAATGTCTGGGCCGCCAACCATGAGACCGAGCAACTGAAGGCCGTTATCGATGTTGCCGCGAGGATTCCTACGCTGGAGCGCTTCGTGTTGTCATCTCTTTCCAACGCGACTAAGTGGTCCCGGGGAAGATACACGCACGTCTACCATTTCGACTCGAAAGCCAAGGCAGAGGCGTACGGAAGAGAAACCTACCCTGAGCTGTGGAAGAAAACAAGTATCTTCCAGGCTGGGTTTTTCTTGAGCAATTTTGTCTCAACTCCAATCTTCCAGCCCGTGATGGTAAGTTCACTGATCGCCTTGACCCGCGGGATCATCTCTAAATCTCTCTAGACAGCGCATGGTAAAGCCCAATTTGTTGGCAATCTAGATCCAGACGTTAAACTGCCTTTCATCGCCGCGGAAGAAGATACTGGTCCAATTGTAAAGGCCCTCGTGCAAGAGGACGCTGGGAAGAATATCATCGGCTATCGGGAGTGGAGCTCCTTACGCGAACTTTCGAAGGCATTTTCTCAAGCTACTGGGGCAGAAACAGAATGCATCCGGTTGGCAACAGGGCAATCGAACATCCCCCTCCCAAGTGAGCTCCGTCTTGAATTGGACGACAATTGGGCTTATTGCAACGAGTTTGGATACGAGGGCCGAGATGACCCCACAATCATCCACCCCAAAGACGTGAGTTCGTCGGCGGTGTTCTCTGTTTTTTCCTTTCACATTGCTGATATTTTCACCTAGTTGGACTCGTCCCCGGAGCTGGACAGTGTGGTAAATTACTTCAGAAAGCAAGATTGGTCCAGGGTCTTCACACAAGAAAAGTAGATTCCCAAGAGTCACTGCATAGGGACGACTACCAATATAGTTTTACCCTCTGATGAAGGCTTCTAGCTTCTATTTTGAATTCGACATTCTCCCTTCCCGGGGACTTCTTAGTTTTTATGTTCGAGGAGACATTGGGATTGAAAAGTGATAAGGCGCTGACTAGGTATTCACCTATATGTTATAGTATTTTATCAAATCTACTTATCATATCGTATTTTCTCGGCAAATATTGTCCCAAGAATGCCGTGTCGATAATTATGTTGTCTAAATCTCGGAGCAAACCCAATTTGTACTTTCCTTCCATTAACTATAGCAAAAGTGATAAGGATACGTTGGCTTTGGCATTGGCGTAATCTTCATCACTGAGGCTAAAAGGTCGCTCGTCCGGAACCTTCTGCTCGCTTTGATATAGGTTAGTTGATGGTGCAACGCTCATCGCAGCTTCGTTCGCAGGAATCAAGTATGGTAACTGATTTCCAAGGAATTGTGCCCCCTCATTGCCCCCGTTACTCTGGCTTGGACAGAAAGAGTCTAGTAATCGGCTAGTGGTAGGAGTTAATGGGTTGGGAAGGGGAGTTTCATCAATTGGAAAGGTGAGATTGTTGAGCGGAAGCTCATCTATCACTCGTTGACTTATAGTCTCACACATGCTCGAATGTTGGTTCCGTTGGCGGATTTCCGGTAAAGAGGTTGCGAATATATCGCGTGCCCCCGAGCCGGTAAGCTCTGGCACCTGAGACGATGAGCTTCTAATCGACGAGTGGCATGACTCAGCAGGCTCAGCCTCGCGATTGCGCCGCTCGCGAGACGTATCTGGGTGAAGCTTCCTTGTATGGCGGACGATCACATCCTTACGGGAGGACGACATAGAGCAAAAAGCACAAAAGAAAGGCTTATTCCCAAGATCTGCAGATTTGTATTAGTAAGTGCCAGCGGCCATATTTTATGTACTCACGAGTAAGTTGGTGGCGTCTCAGATGCGCCGCACGTGTGAAGGACGCATTACATTCGGGACAGGAGAACCGTTGCAGCTTGCTGCCTTGCTTTCCAGAACACGCTTGTCGATAAGGCATCCTAGTTCTGTAAATCTCAGGATTATGAGGTTAGGAAGGGACTTGAACTGTACCGAAATCCAGGAGCAAAGGTTCAGTGCTCGATGAACGCACGCTGTGGCAAACGGTAATCTGGGAGCGCGGAGTATGGGACCTCCGTTATAAGCCGGGCATGCGGTAACCGAACCCCGCTAAGAGCTGTGGAGAAGCAAGCAAGCCGTATTTTGGAGTAGTAAGCGGAGACGGCCGGAAGTCCGCTACCCCACAACGTAAGAATGTATCATGTGACTTCGTGTGTAAAAAGGGCCAATAAGTTTGATATGAATTGAGGCTTTCCCATTGTTGCTCAGTTGCTAAAGAGGTCTTGGCTGTGTTGGACTGTTTGCAGCGAGTTTTGTTGTTGTTGCCGTACGCGGGTTGAGCGTACGCGACGCGCATAAGTGGGTGTTTCCATGAGGTTGGCCAATCAGCGCCGTGGAAAGGTGGAAAACTGATCTGAGTCCGCGACGCAACTAGGGGCTTGGAGGGAATCTAATAGATTCCGCGATACGTATTACCACATAGATTATTACGCCCTCCCTTATCCAAAATTCCGCAATAGAGAGGGCCCATGACAGAATCTGCATCTGGGAAATGCATCTCCAATGATGGGACACCGCTTTTACTAGAAAGAGGACGTCCCCTAGGAGGATGTTTAATCTAAGGCTAAGGACTAACTACTTTGATTCTCTTTGATGCTCTAAAACAACAATCTATTGCGAAAGGAGACCAAAACGTTTCAAGCTCATCAATCATCCTTCTGAATTCCCAAAGCGAGGTGAGCGACCATCGCTCGCGTAGGTCAGCCCTTATCAACTCAATATCTTCACATCGCACGACACCGTAACCGAGGAAGAACACTGGCCAGCTGCCAATGTAACATTCAACCCACTTATTATTTTCCCTCGCCTCACGGAGAATTCCAAGAGCTTTCTCAATCTGCCAAAAATGAGTAAAGGGCGGATCCAAGTTACCCTGACAATCTTGGTTTACTCCTGCGCAGCAGCAATGAAGTAGGAAAGATGCCGCCAAAATGCATAAGGTTGTAGTGTCCCGATAGGCTCTTTCGAGACCGTCGTTATTGCCTCCATGCGGTTTGTCATGTGAATTTGAAATGCAAGTTTCACATAACGTGCTCTCCCAAAAAGCGACTTCCGCCATGAATAAGGAACGTGTTTGCTGGCCCATATAGGTAGGGCTCCGAAAATAGTGAACAAGGTGACTTAGTAGCCTCTGCAAAGACAGGGGAATGCCAAGAACAAGGCACCTGGAAATGACAATGGTGTTGTTATTGCCTTGCGAGTTATTGAGGAGACGGTTCGCAAGTGACCAGAACGCTTCGTCGGGTTGAACGCTACATGAGATAGGACACCATATTTTTTTGCGGAAAGCGTGCACCACTGTACTTTCTATGGCAGCTATTTCCAGGGCAGTTATCGAATATGTTGGTTCAGAAATGCTTGCATAGCGCAGTTTCAGAAGCTGGATTGCAGCTGCAAGATGATGCGCGAAGCCCTCTATGTCCGGGCCACAGATCTGTTTGGTCAGCCATCGTCGGGCAAGAGGCAAGTGTGCTAGATCACAGGCGTGGAAAGGCTGGAGTAGACGGAGCAGAGGAAATCACGACTTACGCTATAAACATAGAGAAAAATGATTGATAACAGTAGTCCATTATCCTTTCCAACTTGTGTCGTGTCCATTCTCGCGAGGGACTGCTTCACAAGTGAGATTGACTGAGAGTAATGGGTAAGCGCTGCTTGGGAGGAGAGGCCGACGCCAGAAGTGTCCAAATGAACTGCACTACAGGCCAGAATTGCGTGTCTGAAGCTATCACAGTTGAGGACCAACCCTTCTAGCTCTTCGTATAACTCATCTATGAGTTGCGACCTGCAGCCGGGTAGGACGAGTAGCGGACATAAGACGTTGAAAAAATGTTCATATAACGCAGCTTCAACATACGCCTGTGAAAATGTCGCCATTTTCGACCGGTACGACATTTCCGATGAGGCCTTTAGAATGGGATCTGATTCTGCATAGATCGGTGGCAAAGCTGAGTGCGGAGGACGGTATCTCCCGTCACAGAGGTCTGCTGTTGATGGCCATAGGCAGGCACGTGCGGAGCCAGTGCATCGTTGGCATCGCGGTAATTTCTCGTCGCATTTTTTGCGCCGGCTTCTACCTACAAAGACCAGACCGAATCAGCACACCGGCTATGTTCCAACGTTAAGATCAACTGTCATTTAATAGTAGGCTACACACATGTTAAACAGCCAGTTTTAGTTCGAAGTCTTTGCACCATTGTCAAGCGGATGAGGAAGACCTGGCCAGTCGTCTCGAGATGGAATAAATGCAATACGGTCGGAATTCAATGCAAGTGCAAAGAGGGAAACGGTGAACTCAACCCGAAGAGCCTTCACATAGTTTCCTCTTGGTGGCAAGCCGGAACGCTGCCGAAATCTTTCCGCGGCCCAAAGGCTCTGTCAGTCTTATTTACCTGTGCCTTATCGAAAGCGGTGTGGGTGGGCTGTATCTTTCCCTTCCGGTTTCTCACCGGAAACTGGTGTGGGGACGCAGAAGGTGAGAAGCCGGAAGGGACAGATAAGGCACAGGTGTAGTTACGGATCCGCTATAATCAATTACGACATGACCTGGATAGTTTTACTGCATGGTAACTTAAAAATCAGAAGACGATTGGTCGCTCCTCGCCCTATTTCCTCTCTGGCAATTGGTATGATATCGTTCCTCCCATACCCTATCTCCTTTCGTTCCACATCATCTAAGCGAAGGTCAACCCAGAATTACGACAAAAACAAAACCAGTCTTATATGAGGTGACTAGTTAGGTTCCTTCTCGATTTATAACGTCAATTCGCACTCTAAAGTACATCAATTCTCGGTCTGAATTCAACTACGACTTCTACTTCCTATTTTCCCACTGCAACTCCATATATTGTCCGTCCGCCTTCTCAACAATCGTCCAGTGTGGAAGAGTATATGGAATAAGGACAGGTCGACGACATGATCTGAGAAAATCGGGTCAAGACAAAGAGTATTCGCCGCCATTCAAAATTCTGTCCACATGCTCCGCCATCATGGCCAAGCCTTGGTCATTGTATCTCTGGGCAACCAATTGAACGGAGATTGGCATGCCACGATACTTCTCGGGTCCCGTATCTGGCTATCTGTCAGCAAGAGCAAGAAAAATTCGAGCAATAACGGAGCGCAAGAAGAATAAGACCTACAAAGAGAATAGTACGCCTCGTCCAGCTCACCAAACTGCGAACGATCATCCAGGACATCGCGCTCATCGACGGCCCCTACTGGCAACACCATTGCAGGGCAATCGACGAAGTTCCAAATGCCTGTATAAACGATGGATTGCCATGCATCATGTGGAATTGCGGTGTGTGGTGCGGGTGGGAGCATGATCAGGTCTAGATTATGTGTTCCCCAGAGGTCGTTGTACAACTGCAGGTAGTAGGCACGAGAAGCATTAATATCAAGAATGTCCTTCAGGGGCATGGGTTGGCCGTCTAAAATACCGATGGCCTTCACTGAGGGGACGGGCGGCTCTCGTGTGGCAGCTAGAAGCTCTTTGAGATACTGGAAGGGAAGTGGATTAGAGGACGGGTATACTAGAACTCTGCAAGCGAAGACTGCAAGACTTACTTCGTTACCATCCAGCGCAAACGACCCCATGAAACTGCGCTCCAGGCCGGCAACATCTGGCAGCTCGATAGGAATCACTGTGTGTCCGGCCTGGGAGAGCTTCTCACTGCTCTCCTGTAATGCCCGCCGCATCGGTGGTGTCACGGAAAATTTGCCATCGCGAGCTACTACCCCTATCCGCAACCGCCGTAGGCTAATGTCTTCGGTGCCGGGCTGCCAGGGAAGACGATAGCAGTTGCCATCGCGCCTCCAGGGCTCAGCCTTCATGACCACTTCCAGGAAATATCGGCACGCGCGAGCTGATGTTGCCATCGGGCCGACGCTCGGCGCGTGGCCTAGAAATCCCGGATGGACGGGACTGCGCTTCCTCCTAAATGGGAGGAGGTGTGCGCAGGGCTTCAGTCCGTAGATACCGCAGCACAGAGCAGGCATTCGGATAGAGCCCCCAATGTCAGTGCCCACGCCCAGGACACTGCCCCGCATAGCGATAAGAGCCCCTTCACCACCGCTTGATCCGCCAGCAGTGAATTTCGTATTAGCCGGGTTGACTGTCCGGCCAAAATATAGTTGTCCGAATCCACCGTCATCATCGACTGCGGCACATTAGTCTTGCAGTATAAAATTGCCCCTAACTCGAGTAGAATCTCCGACAAGCTGGAGGTTTCGGTCACGGGCTTGTTAGCGAAATAGGTCAGGCCGATTGTGGTGTCGATGCCGGGTAGGTTTAAGGAATCCTTGAGGGAAATTGGGAGGCCGAAAAGTGGACCAAGTGATTCACTAGGGTTGGTTTTGCGCTCTGCATCAAGGTGCTTTGCACGTTCGATCGCCAAATCGAAGAATATCTCGGTTAGGCAGTTCGTCTGGGTGGAATCGTTAGCCTTGCTCTCTATTGTGAGCATCCAGGCGTCTATACCAACTGCTGCGCAATCGCTGCCCGTTTGCAAAATGCCACCGTCACCGCTTCACACGACAGTAGGCCTTCCTTCATCCGCTGTACCAGGTCAACAGCATCATAGTCCGATGTGATGGAGAGTTCAGTGTGTGTCAGAATGCCACACGTCCGGGGCACGTTGAGCACGCTGGAGCCAGGAGGATAGGTACTCCTCAGCTTCCAGGCTTCCGGGATCAGGCTGTCCCTGCGCTTTCGTTTCTGAATGGTAATCTCTTCCCAGGAGTGTTCGCGGTCCATATTGATGTAGACAAACGTATACTCGATCAGTGATAAGGATTGGTTGGATTAGGCAATAGTGTGCCAGTAAGGTGTAAGGAACCAGGTATAACTGCAGAATCAGTGTAGCTATTATATATATTGGAGGAAGTGCAACAAAGCTCGCTTGCGATCCAGTTGCTGCCCCACAGATACCGAGTGGGTCTTTTCTCGCAAGCTAAATCAACATTCAGCACCGGCCCTTCCTGCCCATCGGTCTGCATGGTAATCGTGTTATCTCGGGAATCAGGTGCCACAATGTGAAACTACACCATGTCCTTGGCTCGATATCTCACAACGAAAATATCAATCAATACACGATTATGATTGGTCTCGTGAATACTAGATAATACCATCTGCAACCACTCATTCGTTAAACCTAGTGACCTTTTACTGCGGAATTCCCGAGATCCGGGACGGTTCAACTCACAAAGGCCTAGCGGCAACCGTCCACGGCATTTAAGAGTCCTGCGCGACGCAAATTTACAGTTACCTTGAGATAACTTGGTCGCTGGTTTCGGCTTAAGCAGATCAGGACCCGGTTTGCAAGCACTACTGTTGGAAGGCAACCCAACCGCGACTAATTGCGCATTCCAAAACAGTCCGTGCGGCCCCACTTAGCTCTCCCGAAAGTTGCCGCCGCGGTGTCATCTGCGCGATTACATATTATTGGCCCAGCCCCGCTTAGAGATATGTGTCGTGTGGCGCAAATACATACATATGATTGGCCTCCCCGTCTAAATCCAAGAACAAATAGGTGGGCAATCACGGGGATGCGGGTTACTTTCCGATCAGATAGCATTGACGAATAATAGTCGTGGCTGTTCAGGCGCTGAATATTTATGTGCTCATTGAAGCTTTTATAAGGAGTCCATTCCCAGCAATGTGCACTGTTTGAGCAAAGCCATACCCCCTGCCGCATTATCAACTCCCATTTGGTAATGATATCCTAGCGGAAAATACTGGATGCAAGCTGATGACTGAGACAATCTAATAGCTTCAGATATATCAACACGACGATCTAACACGATATCGAACAACATCAAACCAGTTCTAACCTCCGAGTACGACGCGGTAGCCGCTACCGAGAAACATTATGTCGATGGCATGCGTGTCGGCAGCTCTTCCGAAGTAGCCCGAGCTTTTCACTCCGATGCCATCATGTACGGCTTCCATGGCCCAAATTTTCTACGTGATATCAAGGCCCTGTACGACTTTGTCGATGAGCACGGCAGTGCTTCGGAGATTAATGCTCGGATAGATGTCCTTGCGATTACTCCTACTACGGCCGTCGTTCGCGTCGATATGGAGAAGGATGCAATCGGTCTCGACTACACCGACTTCCACTTGCTAATCAAGCTCGATGGCCAGTGGCAGATTATCGGCAAAGTTTTCCATCTTTATAATTCAGCTTAAATCTATTGAACCTGTGGTAGGGCAAGGTCCGGTTTCTATGGAGGAGTTATAGATAGGACCCGCAAACCTATATCCACTATCATCACACGTGTACCAAGGAAATCAAGTGTCGCTGTTATTCATGTTCTCGCTGCGTGTTCTCACCGGCCAGTAAAATTATGGTAGGGGTATCAACACCTTACTAGTGGCCAATTATGCTCTCCACTGACATCAACGGCCGACCCATAGCTTTTGGTCTAGTGCAACTAACAAGTCAAATCGCCTAACGGAACCTATCAGCTCTCGACAGGATTTCCATTAGAGGTCTTTCTTTCATGCAGAACAAGTAATATAGATAGGTGTAGACTTCCGCACGACCCAATATAACCTGGACCCAACCCGGGCTGGGTTGGGTTTTAGGTCAAAGACCCTAGTTAAACTCGTGAAACAGTTTTCGCGACAAGGATACTGACCCTGTTCGTTCAGTTAATTTTGGTACCTTGCACATTGACGGAAATGAACTTACTCTTCATCTGTGAGGGCTTCATGGGCTTCTCCATTTATCTCGATATCCCTTCCGGCCGACTGCATAAGGTGTTAGTCACAATTGTACTAACCAAACAAAAATAAGAATATATGCCTTTGAGAAGGCAACAACGTCTCCTACTTTGACGGATATTTCCTTAACAATTCCATCCTCCAAAACCTTGGCAGTCCTACTTTCCACAACTTCGCCCCTGAAGGAGCGAAGTGTTTGTATGATATAGAGTTTCTATGAAGTTGATAAACTAGGTCGCGGCCTGTTGGGTAGTGGAACTTAAATTTTGCATATTTATTTCAGTCCATGGCTGCTAATATCAGCCGCTATATAGGTTTTTCTTACAAGGGAACGACCTATGTAATATTATTGGAGAAATAGAGATTCATGGGCAACTTACAAAGCGCCCTGCCATGATGATAATGACGTTGGAAAGATAGAATCCTCAAGGGACCACGTATAGTGTGAAGAAGAGTTTAGAGAAGAGTCGTGATTGGGGTTGGGGAAGGGGGGCGTGGAGGAGCGGCTCCGATTGCCCATGGCGGCATTATCCCTAGGCATTTGGCCGGAGCAGTTCATCACCCTAGGATGTTGGAGAGCAAGTGGGGCAGGCAGCTCAGCAAATCATAATCATATGTACATTCAGCTGAAAGTGTCTGTGTGGTGCTAAGTGTCGAGTGCGGGGTCCGTGCATAGGTCTGGCTCCATCCGGAAAGGTTAGCCACGACGAGGTGATCGCGCGGCCTTCCTAGGCGAGACCTATGGCTTGGAGGAGTTGCTAGAGAGCGAGGGAGGACTGTCGGTCGGGGGCCATGGTGGTTGATATTTATGGAAACTCAGGGAAGCAGGACGGTCAACAGAGGAGCCAAAAATGGCTCCCCTCCGCCAGGAGGGTAAACGAGGATGGGGCCCTGCGGCGGCTGCGGCACGAATGTACATCGGTCGATCAACGGGCCCAGGAACCAGGCACGGCCAACCCGAAGCACGGGTGGCAGTCCACAGGGTCGCGCGTGGGCTTTGGTGCACGTGATGCCAAGACCAACCACGTGTCGTCCCGAAGGGTTTGCAGGGTTTACATCCCTTAGTGGCCTCAGGCACTCTACAGGGAGTAGACGCCTGAGGCTGACCAGGCCCAGGGAGTGGTGGTCCTGGGCGCACAGAGAGAAAGGGTTTCTATTGGTCTAAAAGCGAGGGCTCCACCGGATTATGTGATTATATTCACTTTTGTGGCCTAGTTAGTTAGTTAGTTAGCTAGTACTATCCAATAGAAACCATGCGATCCTTACAGAATCTCACACGGTGAGCGACCAGCCGTTTCTGGCCTCCCATTCACCGTGTCATTGTTATTTGTTGTATAAGATAGGCCGAAATGCGGCAGTATAGTACGGGCCGAAATATAGGAGTATCAGACGGTCTAAAATATAGGAGTATCAGACGGTCTAAAATATAGGAGTATCAGGTGGTCTAAAATATAGCAGTACGGTATAGTCCGAAATATATAAGTCTTCTCCTACATTTTTGTAAAGAAATACTAGTTGTCAGTCTAGTCCTGTTGGTCAGGCGAGTTGAACAGCAGGGGGAAGAAACGTATGGTATTCTTTTTGCAGAGACTAATTCTTGCTAAGTCCAAGTTTCCCAGGGAGGCACTCTTGTACCTCTTCGTCCCTGAATCGTGTCCGTCACGATGATGTGTTCAGATAGCTGCCGAGTCCTCTTTCGAACACTGGCAGTTGTCAGGGTGATCACATGGTCAATCCTTGGCAAACCTCAAAGAAGCTCGAGACAAAGAAGTTAAATGTACATCAAGATCTTGGTTCTGTATCCACAGCGCTTTTCCTTTACACTCGCCATTTTAAAGTGGTTATTAATCCCACTAAGCATACTAAGATCCATTATACTAACTTCATCGATGACCGTAATCGTCTTCCGGGACCAGAGTTTTCTAACGCGAGAAGTTATGGTATATCCTTTAGTGCGGGTAATAGAAATCCCTAGAGACGCGTGGAACGTGTTGCCACCAATATTGTCTACCGCGGCGCCAGTCGGAGCCATAAGGATCATCTCTTCCTTACGGCGGATGAGATCCATCCCGGCCATAATGCCACTCACATAAAGCGTTCGACGGTTGCGTTCGACGGTTACCACTAGTCAGTGATAGGGGACTGATGCCAATACTCCCCAGTTGTGAAACCAGACGACTTGCACGGTATCGTGGTCGATCTCGCTGGGGCCAGGTACCTTGGCTACAGATAACATTGCGCAGGATGAGACTGCACTAACGTCGGGCGTTAACGTAAATGCAATAACACAGCATCATGAGGCGTCCCTATGCTTGCCCGTGATCACTGGGCGAGAAAACGTGCTGCTGGAGGCCATGCTCAGCATTATTACCGTGATCCGTCATCGCACCACGTCTCGCATGAAGATGGAGGAACGTGAGGAGTACTACATCTCGTCGCCGAAGCCTCTCCTCGACCCTAAAGTAGCACTGCGGTACAACGAGGGTAACCGACCAGAGAAGAGGGGTTTTTTGCCAGTCCCACGGAGCCGGGTGAGCATCAGACAGCCTTCACAACGCTGGAGAATGCTATGGCTCCGAATGATAGATGATAACGACCCTCCTCCGGTCGGCTCCAAGTCATTTTTGCAACAACGTCATGAATCACTCGGCCGGCATCAATTCGTTCAAGGATTCCGCAGTAAACTGGGTATAGCTCAGAATCCGCCACTGAAATGTGCCAACACTCTGACGTTCCTCTCTACACTCTTTCCAAAATTGTCGTTCCTTGCACGGCAGCTCAATACACCACCCTTCCATCTCTTGCAAACCCTCCCTCGCCGCTTAACTTTGCAAACAATAGCTAAATTACCCACCAGGCGAGGCTCCTCTAGCCATATCAGGCCTGGACACACCGCGTCCATTGGCTGCGAGACGATGGGCTTTCTGCAACCCACCGACCAATTCGGCAAATCAATCATAGTTTCTTTTGGCATGCATTGTGCCCATCTGCTGGTCGTACGAAGAATTGGTCTTTGGGGGGTCTATCCG